TCTGTGTGTGTGTGTGTGTGTGTGTGTGTGTGTGTGTGTGTGTGTGTGTTCATCTCTGCCTGCTTGTAGATGAGAACAAGTTCTCATGATTATGCGTGCTCATCCACGCTTACCTGTGCGTGTACGTGCATGAGTGAGTGTGTGTGCGTGCGTGCGCAAGTGAGTGCATGCATTTGCGCGCGTGGGTGAATGTGTTGTGAGTGCCGTAAACTCTTTAAAAAACTAAACTAAACTGAGTATGTGCGTGTTGCAATTTATTTTTTAGATTTATAAAAATGTGTTTCCCTTCTGACTTATGTCTGTATGTGCCATGGTGAAAAGGTCAACGCATTATACCAGAGACAGCGATGTAAACGAACATTTCGACAAAAATGTATGGGAGACTGAAAGATGCGGTTTCTACAACCACATCCCATAAACAGGGGATTTGTTTTTAAAAATAGGAAACCCTGTTTCTGTTTACTTCAGCTGATGAAGATTCAACTCGGGTACCAGGAGGTCCGTCTGATGGACGTGTTCGATGACCTCTACGAGATCGCCCAGCAGGCCAGGGGCCGGATGTTTGCCGGAGACCTGGACATCTCAGCGAAGACCGTGCACTCTATCCTAACAACGGCTAAGGATTTCCCACCGCTGGTCCATCGGCAGTTTGCTTCTGAGGTAAGCGGCGGGCGGGATTGACCTGAATAATTGTTTGAGGTTTTATTCCACCATTTAAAAAAAACAACAAATGAACACCGAAACAATCAGAAGATGGACTCTTAGGTGGTTATTGGAGCGGGGAACAGAGTACGTATGGCAATGCCCAAAGTGATATGATGTTGTTCCCAGGATCAAGTAAACAAGTAATCAAGTTCCACCATTGATACAATTTAGGATATATAAGAAGCGGGGCGATTAATTCGATCCCTCCTATGATCCGGCTTTCAGAGGGATGCATCGTCCGATAAGAAAGATGGAGGTACAGTCGAGTCCGCTTAAACAGAAATCTCTGGGAAGGCTTGATTCGATTTTCTTCAAATAAACGAAGAAAACGGGGATTTTATTTCTTTTCGTTTTAATGAGGGGTTCAGATTAAGCGGGGTTGTTTTTTGTTTTTTGGTGTAAGAGGACTCCACTGAACTTGATAAACTATGTTTCCCGTCTAACTTAAGTCTGTACGTGCCACGGCGAAAAGTTCAACCATTATACCACAGACGACGATGTAACATTTCGACAACAGTTATATGGGAGACTGAAAGATGCGGTTTCTACAACCACATCCCATCAAGAGGGGATTGTTCTTTTCAATCGCCACAGTATTATCATATTAGATAAACGATATTTTATTAAATTTGTCCAAATGCGGTTTACAAGTGCGCACTGAGCGACGTAGACAGCGAACATCGCTTCAGCTGTACTGCCGTGCTCATAGCTCACAACACGGGGGTAAGAGTGGGGTGGGGGTGGGGGGATAGTGTGAACGGCGAAAAAAAGTCTGACCCCCCAAACCCCCCGTCCTTCTTAAAATAAGCTGAATTCATACTTTGCTACCACGTAAACTGGAGACCCCGAATGTGCAAGCTAGATGATTAAAGTTCCAAAGTTTAATTAAGACCTGTAGATAGTTTTGTAACCTAGTTTTTCAATTTTAGCGCACGCGTTTTGTGTGTGTGTG